CCCCAAAACCCCAAAACCCCAAAACCCCAAAACCCCTTAACTACATTTAAAAATGAAAATAATTTTGTAAGTCAATATTCAAAATTTCTCGAAGAATACCAGCTTCCCTTCCCTAAAACTCCAAAACACATTCCCATATTCCTAACTTATCAGAATACAAATTACATTCCTCAATCATTTAGAACTTAATGAACCTCCTCATTCCTCCAGGTAAGGTCTCATACACTTCAAAATAGACCATGGCTAGCACCACCGGAAGAATATTCTTTGGTGCTTTTTCCCAAGTTTTGGTTAGAAGAATGTCGAGATTTTCATAAGCCAATGTGGAGTTTTGTTCAGTACCTTCTCCGAAGAAGGACATCCAAGCCTGGTTGTACATTGTATGAGCAGAGAATCCTGAAATTAGATTGTATGATTTATAGCATATTTCTAATAAAATCTTCTTCTCGTTCTCAGGTTTTTCAGCAGCCAAAGTGTATAGTATTTTAATGAAGTGGTTTACACCATTTCTATCTCCATTTAAACCAGCTCTGAGGTAATAATAAGCTCCACATATAAGATTATTCCCAAACCTGCATGTAAGATTTGTCAAATTTTCAGTCCAGATATACCCAGCTGCCATCATAGAATCAGTATGATCGATCGCTGCCCCAAAAGCAAACGAAAGGAGGGCTCTATCAAACTCTCCCATACTATATTTAACATATCCAAGATTGTACCATCTTGTAGTATCTCTATCGATCTCTGTAAACTTAACATATTCAATAAATTTGTCTGTAAGCCTTGCTATTTCTTGTTGATTTTCAAAATCAATTTCATCAAGTATTCTGTTGACAAAGTAATTTCTATCACTGTCTCTGAACATTTTAAAATCTGAGCTGAAATATTCTATTTCGAAATACTCTTCTGATTTAGCTAGAAAATCTTCTGGCATCTTTTCCTTCTCAAAAGTGTTCTCTCCATGACGATACAATATTTTGAGGGCTTGTGCTGATAGATGCTTTAGGTCTGGATCCTTCAATGAAATCGTAAGGTGATGTATAGCTTTTTCAGTATCTGATTTCTCATATAAAGGATCAGCATATAAAGAACCGATGCTGAAATGGCACATTATTATATTTTCATTCACTCACTTATTTAGGTATTTAAAAGATTTAAGTTTGTCCCGGTTTAGATAGTAGGTTCCAATATAGACTACTGCTTCCATATTTCCTAGGTTAGCGGACATTTCGTAATATTCTGCTGCTTTATCTATATCTTCTACAATTCCATATTGAGCATTCCCTTCTGCATAGATATTTCCCAGTATTAATAGGTATTCATCAGATTCCGAAGTATTTGAGAAAGCATGCTCTTTTATCCTCTTGATGAAGGGATGATCTTCATTATCAAACATTTTCTCTTTCTTCAAACTTGCAGGAAGTATTCTATTATTCCAAAATTCTGTCATTGCTGCTATGCTAGACATAGCTATTCCATAGAAGAAATTCCCGATTCTGCCTCCAATCCCTGGCTGAATATCATTGAGGAGATTGTCTACGACTTCATCAATTCCGTCATCAAAAACTTCATTCTGGACTTGATTCTGTTGAGCAACCTGAGGTTGGTTTCCTAAACCTCCTTGGCCTAATGGGATTCCTAACCTTTGCTCTTTTTCTTCTGACTCAGGAACTTTGTGATCGTCAACATGCTCTGTGGTATTGACTTGGCTTGTCTTATTTTTATGAAATTCATCAGTTGTATTAATATGTTTGAACTCTTTTACCTTATCTTTAAACTCTTCAGTTTTGCTATTCTCTTTAACATTCTTTGTTTCAATTAATTCCTCACCAATTTTTATTATTGCCTCTTCTATAATTTTGTTATTTTAAAACTACCCATAAATTCTTTAGCTTTGCTTAATTGTGCGTAATAATCGAGATCAAACAAATCTTTCGGTGACAAATCAGTTGGAGTATCCTGATCCACTTCCTTAATGATTTGTTGCGCTAGTTTCATGATCTCCTTTTCATGAGTAACTTTATAATTCCTAATCTGGTCAGCAACATCAAGAAATTCAAGAGTGTTGTTACATTCTTCGTAGCTGACGAAGTTTAAAGTTTCTAGAGATTAGCCATAAGATTTACCAATATCTTTTTCTGAGATCCGATCTGAAGACATTGTCGAGAGGAATTCAAAAAATTTCTGAGAAATTTCGATGAGATTAGCATCTTCTTCTTCATCAAGAGAGCAGAAATACCCGTCGTTGAGAGCCATCATGCCTGCGTAATTGAGATAGTCTCCATTGAATATTTTCTCGTCTAGTACAGAGTTATGGTCATGCGATAAGTACTCTTTTAAATTTACATATGAATCAGAGTCTGGGTAAGGAGATTCTATTTCTTCCACTAGCAGAGACATCTTGTGCAAGAAGTCTTTAAGAGCGTAAGAATAGTAATTTTGTCCTCTCTGAAACTTTTTCATACTTTCAACAGCTTTCGAGATGCTCACCGGGATCGGTTCTTCAATAAATGTGTCATTGTTCTCTACTTTTCCAATAAACACGTGTAGGTAAGCAGGCAATATTGATGCTCTATAAGTATTTTTGATTGTTTCTGGTATTTTTAGGGTAAAATTTGCATAAATAAGCTCATCTATATCACTTATAGCTTCCACAATTGACATCTTTTTTGCCAGGCTCAAAGCTGAGATGAATCAAAACGAAGCAAGAAGGAGTCGAAATATCATTTCCATTATTATAATTAACTCTTTATTATTTATATGGAGAACTCGGGGTTTTGGGGTTTTGGGGTTTTGGGGTTTTGGGGTTTTGGGG